CCCCTGAGCCTCCACAGCTCCAGGCTCAGCACCCCCAGCTCCCTCAGCTGCTCCTCACCACACCTGGGCTTTAGACCCTTGTTCTCTAGATCTAACACTCCCTATGTTATCTGCTACACCAGCATCTGCACAGCAGAGCAGCACATCTGGAGGGGCCCTGCCAGCAGCCGGTCCTCTTGCCAGGCATCAGCCAAGCCGTACGGCATCGTCGTCAAAGCCCCTTCACCATGAGGCTTGGAAGACCATCGTGAGAACAACATCATCTGCAGCTGGAGGACCGGAGCGGCGCTTCCCTGCAGCTCCTGGAGGTCCCTGACCCACCCCCGGCCGCCCCAGCACTCACCCGACAGGATCCGGCCGCGGATGGAGACGTTGCCGGTGAAGGGACACTTCTTGTCGATGTAGGTGCCCTCGATGGCCTGCCAGCAGAAACGGTGGTCAGCGGGGGGACAAGGGGCGCTATCTGCAGCTGGAGGACCGGAGCGGCGCTTCCCTGCAGCTCCTGGAGGTCCCTGACCCACCCCCGGCCGCCCCAGCACTCACCCGACAGGATCCGGCCGCGGATGGAGACGTTGCCGGTGAAGGGACACTTCTTGTCGATGTAGGTGCCCTCGATGGCCTGCCAGCAGAAACGGTGGTCAGCGGGGGGACAAGGGGCGCTGCGGGGCACCTTGTGCTGCCACTCAGGCGCCAGCAGCACCACGCTCCTGGTCCCGCGGCAGGCACCTGGCACCAGGTCATCTGGAGATCAGCAGGTACCACCCTGACCTGGGGCAAACCCTGAGAGCTGGGACACTCCGGTACCTTCTGGGGCAAATCCAGCAAGTTGGGAGAATGGGATGCTGTCTAAACATACCCAGAGAGCCTATTTCCCGGGAAACAGGCCCAAAAGTCCACCCTACCTGGCTCTGAAGGTGCCAAGATCACCCCAAAGGAATGATGGCCACACTAGAGAAGTGCCACGCCAGCCAAAACCCATTATTTGGCAGCACTGTGTGGTGTTCCCCTGATTTAACCCATTTGGTGAGTTTCCATCTGCTCATGTCTCTGGTTTCACCTCCGGGTCCATCTCTGTGTCCAACTGGATTTAGGAGCCCTGGTCTCATGTGGATCTCACTGCTCTCCAACCCTCCAACACAGTGTTATGTTGGTTAGAATCCATTTTATTAAATCACTCTGAAAATGGACAGCTCAGGGTTGTTACCCCAAAGTTCCTGCAGCCCTGAGACCCATCTCCATGCCCTCCACAAACCACCCCAGCTACAGTTTGTCCCATTTCTCCTATGTTCTTAGAATCATGGAGTTACTTTGGGTAGAAGAGGCCTTTCAGATCAAGTCCAGCCATTCCCCCAGCGCTGCCAGGGCCCAACAGACCCACGTCCCTCTGCACCACATCTTCATGGCTTGGAAACCCCTCCAGGGATGGGGACTCCACCACTGCCCTGAGCAGCCTGGGGCAGGGTAATTCTCCCTCCCCACAGCAATTCATGAGGTAACCGCTGCCTTCAAGTCAAACCCTGACAAATCTCAGTTAGATTCCACTAAATCCCTCAAAGCCATTTTATCTCAACAAAACCATCAGCCTGGAGAAGAGAAGGCTCTGAGGAGACTTTCTGGTGGCCTTCCAGGACTTCAGGGGGCCTGTCAGAAAACTGGGGGGGGACTTTTGAGCAGGGCCTGTTAGGACAAGACAAGGGAGGATGGTTTGAAACTCAAAGAGGGAGACTGAGACATATCTGCAGAAGAAATTTTTGATGCTGATGGTGGTCAGACCCCGGCCCAGGTTGCCCAGAACTGGTCAATGCCCCATCCCTGAGACTGTTCCAGGTGAGGCTGAGGCTCTGGCCAGGTGCCCGCAGCCCTGTTACCTCCTTGGGGGTCTTGAAGCCGAGGCCAATATTGCGGTAGTAGCGCGGCAGCTTCTCCTTGCCGCCCTCGCCCAGCAGCACCCGCTTCTTGTTCTGGAAGATGGTCGGCTGCTTCTGGTACGCCCGCTCCGTCTGGGGGACAGCAGGGATCAGTGTGGCACGGGGCACCCTCAGGGCACGCTGGGCCCCGGTACCCCCTCAGCCCCAGGACTGCACCAGACCCTGGGGCACTGAACCCCCGCAGCCCACAGAACTGCCCAAATCTCGGTACTCCCCAGTCC